CACCCACACCCACACCCACACCCACACCCACACCCACACCCACACCCACACCCACACCCACACCCACACCCACACCCACACGCCACACCCATGCCTATCCGTGCTACTCGCAAGAAGAAAGTGTCTATTACAAACAGATAAATGTGCGCTCGCAGCTTTCTTGAGCACTTGTGTACTAAATATTTGTGTCGCTGTATCTGCAGTAATGAACGAGGATCTATGAGTCATTAATGAATCGATAATGCTCGTCTATTTCTAGGGAGCAAAGCATGTTGTGTTAAAACATCGAATAAGATGTTCATTTCAGAGAGCTCTATTGGTATTTGACCGAATATGTCTTCATAAGAGTGGATTTGTTAATTTGTAAGGGTTGTCGCGAATACAACACTTTCTAATCATTATCACGGAACTACACATTCGATTCTCTGCAAGACGAGTTAATCGGATCATTGTTAGCCCAAAATCTGAACATATCGGTAGTGCCTATAATGCCCTCTCCTTATATTATTAGTAGAATGGTGTGGGTGAGTGTGAATATGTAGGCATGGGTGGGGTGGGCGTGGATGTCGGAGTGACTGGGCTGCTGGTGCCAGCGCGAATACAAGACTTTTTTTCATTGACATACACACCCACACCCACATCCACTCGCACACAAACACATACCCACATTCACACTCAACAGCACCTTAACCCAAACCTACACCCATCCCATAACATAACAAAAAAAAAAGTAGCAAGTAGTTTGTTCAATTAATTGTTCGGTAAGGCCTGCAATGATTCTCTGAACGATTGAAATAGAATGCAAGTGAATTAAAGTAGGTGTCTCCATTTCTCCTATTCTCCGTGAACAGTGAAAAATGGTGTTTACAACACACTGAAAGGAAAGGAAAGTAAACCTTTTTTTCCGTCTGTCGCTTCCTTAAAATCTGAGGACGGCCGGAATCAGAGAAATTACATCAGCAATCGCGACTTGTTTGTCTTATTTTTCTCGGAAGTAATAGGAGCAACACTCTGAGTAGCTCACTGAAAAAAGAAAGAGGATAGTTTTTCACGATATTCAATGAGCAATATGTGAAGCAACCGACTGAATAATTTGACTAGAAACAAGTACTCTGGAACAGCAGCAGTGGACAAGAGGACCAGTCGATGGAGAAACAGTCCATTTTTATGCAGGAATGGCTCACAACGTGAGGTTATATATATCAAGGAGAAATGCGAAATGACATACGAAAATAAACATAAAAGTGTTAATTAATAACGTTCAATAATCATACAGAAACATCTGAACGACTCTATGTATATCCTAGAACATCAACAAGCAAAAATTTAGTTCATTCTACCGATTATTTCTCTTCCATTCTTAATCTTTTCACTGCAATTATTATCCTTCACAAACAGAGAATTAATCCATTTCTCCTAATAAAAATTATGTTTCACCTTATGATGACAGATATACTTCAACCATTTCTAACGATAAATATGCGAATTCTGATAGTAATTATCGTTCTTTGCTTCAACATCTTGTAATAATGAAAAAACAACGATGACACAAGCACAGAATTGATCGATTTCTCCTTCTGTGTTTCATTTTTTATCTTATGACGGTAGTAATGCTTTAACGATGTCTGAATGTAAACATACGATTTCTGGGTGTGGATGTTTTCTTCAATGATACTCACATTCACATCCACGCACCCTAATTCTACTGAAACTACATGCTGACAAAAGGAACGTTAACTTAATAATAACAATTAAGTGAGCTGCTGGATATTCATATCACTGAATTATCTGGTGCTAATTGCTCAGTTTTAATTAAAAAGTCAACGATGAAGTAATTAGTGAATTGTTAATACCCATTCAATTTAAATGCTAAGCTTATTTCTAAGGAATTCTGATAAACATATAAGTGAATAAAGATATCTATAGATGAATTGTATAATATTTACGAGAATATACTGAGTTAATATGTTACGGCAACCTTTGGATACGAACGCGATAGGTTATGGTTGATAAACGCATTGTTCAGTAGATGACACAACCACATCCACCTTCTGCTAAACTGCTGCGTTGGTGAAAAGTAATGATTACGGCTTATCACTTCATATCCCTGACCATTTGTGCTGAATAAGATTTTTGTTGTTTTGCTCTCTTTTCTTAACTAAACATTTTTCAACAGCCTATACTTGCTGGTAAAGCGTTGAACATACTCAATCGCCGTTGACTCTGAGTCAATAAAAGGAATGTTTTTTGCTTTACCTATAGTTTTCCTAGATTTTTACTGGGTTGTCATGGGACATTTGATTTGAAGTAAAGCAACCGTATCATTCGGCATATTTTTCAGTTTTCTTCCTTCCAACGCTGATTACATCTACTAATATCAAACAAAAACTCACTTAAAAATGAAACTGTAAAAATAATGTAGATGATTGTTTCGCAGGCGTTACTTGATTCGTAAATTATTAGATGAAGTGAGTCTGTACCACGAACTTGATAATGACGATTTACTTCGCGATATAAGTTAAAAATCTGAAATAGAAAGATCATATCTGCAGCTTTATATAAAGCCTTTTATCTAGACAACAGCACCAAGAACTAAAGCTTTTAGCGCAATCCCTGCGGCATTAATATATGAAGCAGGATGCAGCTGTAGTTACAACACACAAATATTGTTTTCTTCGATATGCCTTGAGACTCACCTGTCATTTTTTCCTTTACCTACCATAATTGCAATAAAGTAGTAATTGATATATATTTATGCAATTCTAAAGATATAAAGTCGTAAATCGTGTATCCAGAGGCCTACCAGAACCTCTTGTTCATATAGATTTTCTGTGTTACGTTTTTTGAGTGGGTTCGAATTTCTACTCATAAACACTTTAACATTCCTTTCAGATAGTGCTTCACAATAGTACTGCTTAATACTCTGAAACAGTTCCAGCAATGACAAATGAGAATCGAGTGAAAGCGTCTGCATTGGAATACTTCTGTGGAACAAAAAGAAAGAAAACTGAATGAAAGCGGAATTGCTGAAACGCTTCTCTGAAAAAAATAAAACTATAAAAAAGAAAAACTGTGTGAGCTAGAGAATTTCTTACGGAGGAGAAAAGTAAATAGATTAGTAAAGGTATTTCCATTGAAATGGTTTTCTGCGAAAAAAAGTGTAAATTCTGTAAAAGAAATGGTAATACCATCGTTAGAAGACGTTTCTGAGAAATAAATCACAAGAGACAACAGAAAGTATTTGCGGTGAAAAATGCGACGTTAAATTAAAAATGAAAAGTACTTAAAAGCATCTGTGTTGGAAGACTTCTGGGAAACAAAAATAAAAAAGGAAGTTGAATGGCATCGCGCTCGCGGCAAGACCTTTCGGAGATATTAAAAATCAAAGAAAGAAAAATCGTTTGGATCGGAGTATTCCTCTGGCAAGAAAAAAAAATAAAAAACGACTGAAAAAGTTTCCATTGAAAAGCTTTTCTCCGGAAAAAATATAACTTGTGCAAAAGAAATAGCATTGTCATTGTTAGGCGGTATTTCTGAGAAAGTAAAACTTAAAAATCGCGGAAAGGATGTGAGGTAAAAGATGTTGCTGGAAGATTAAAAATAAAAGCTGAACAAAAGGATCTGTACTAAAAGACTTGAGAAATGAACAATGGAAGTGTAGTAAAACGGTCCTTGTTAGAAGAGGTTTTTTGGATAATGAAAATGGTGGAAAAGACAAAAGGCATGCACGGAGTTAATATAAGGACAGAGAATCTAAACAAACCCATTCGATTTTCTTCTGCGAAATAAACATTTAAGGCTCCGATCACTAGTCAAGAGAGAGAAAAAACGCACGCCCATCCACACATTCATACCCACCATACCCTAACATTGCAAATCTATGTATTTGACATGAAAATTCTTATTTTGCAGATAACGAAAAATCTTCGAAATACTAGAGAAAAAACGTGATGCAAAGTTTCATATTTTTCATAGCTAGCCTCAATAAAAAGAGAGATTTTATTCGACATGTACCAACAAAACAGTCATGCATGATTAGTATTCGATGATGGTCGTAACAGTGAATAATAGTCCTTTTCTCAACTAGTGATACACTTCACAATAATAAACAAATGATACTCCTGAGAATGTGAAGCGTGTGGGTGTGGGTGTGGGTGTGGGTGGGTATGGGTGTGGGATTACTATTTTTTTCGTTCACAGTCACATTCACACTCACACCCACCACCCACACCCGCACCCATATTTCATGAAATGAGTCTACATTTGCCACCCGCGAAAATCGAAGCCAATTTTCTCGTTTGATCAGGTAGCACAAGTGTCGGGCAGTGTGTTATTCAACTAGCTAAATCAATTGGTTGTTTTGTTATCACTACAGCATCACCTGCTCGTCATGATTATTTGAAAGGACTTGGTGCTGATGTTTTGTGTTGACTAAAAAGATCTATATGTTGTATCGAAAATAAAACGAGCAACCAATGATCATTTGGCTTACGCTTTTGATTGTATATCAGAAAAGGAAGCAACCGAACAAGTCTGTGCTGCACTCACTGACAATAATTCGCAATTATGCACTGTTCTACCTTTTATAACAAGGGAAATACCATCCCATGTCAAAGAACACAGAGTTTTAATGTATACAATCTTTGGAAACGAAAGAAATCTCTTTGGTCAACATTACAAAGCTAAACCAGAAGATAAAGAATTTGCTGAAAAATTCTATAAATTAGTTTCAAATGTTCTCTTACCTGAAGGACTTCTGAAACCGAACAGAGTGACGAAGATGCCAGGTGAATTGAATGGAGTGGAAGCGGGATTTGAAAGAATGATGGAAAATAAGGTGGTAGCCGAAAAATTGGTCTATACAATAGCTGAAACTAATGGCTTGAATGACTATCGTTGGATTTGTTGTCGTAAAATATGTTCATAGGACACATCTTGTTAATATCCAAAATTAACAGAAACTAACTATCCGTTACCGTATATTGAATTCAATGAATGTCTTGTACGTGTCTACTGATGTAACGAATAAAAAAGTATATTAAAAAAAAACACAATGAATTCCTTTCAAAATGAATAAATAGTATCTTTTCTGAAAAATATACTCGCCTAGAATACATTATGTTTGGGTGTGGGTGTGGTGTGAGATGCAGGTGAAGAAAAAATACAACCTACATCCACACCCACTCCCAGGAATTATTATAGGGTTGATGTACCGATCAATTCACTCGCGTCCTTTTTACTATATAAAAATAATTTCGGACTCAATGAGTTAAAGTCAACCAGTAATCATCAGTAAGTATAGATAATCTTTACCATACAAATATTCATGCAATCCATAGTATTAAATAACCAAAAGATAATGTTTTTCAAAGTTATTCAGAACGCAAAGTCCCAGGACGAGAAGTCGCGTTCCCCGAATCCGAAGGGTTAAAGAAAAGTAGAACATAACATTTATGTTTTCAAGTATACGTCATTGGATTTTTCTTTTCTCTTCTATGCACTATTCTATATGTATATATATATCACGGTTGGAACCAGTCCGGAAAATGCCGGAAATTTGCCGGTTGAAATTTAAAAATAAATATCTTTATTTGACTGTCTTTTTGTAAAAAAAAAAAAAGTATATTATGAATTTTACTATCAAGAAGATGAAATGAGGGTGTGGACGTTGATCTTGTCTAAGACAGCACCCACACTCACACCCACATCCTTGATGAATTGTAAAGAGAATACGCGTCTATTTCCTATATGCTTGCTGAAAGTTTTAATCATATTTCATCAAGAACTTAAATTCTCTAAAATATATTTTTAAAAATAGTTTTTCTTAGCCGAATTTCTTCAGAAGACGATCTTATTCTTTGCAAGGTAATGAGAAAAGACAAAATTTTCAGCTGTCTACATCTATAATATGAAAACCTGTATCAAACAGGTTGAATAGTTCTATTTAACTATTAGCTAATCAATTTCAAAGGTGGAATTGACGCCATCGGATTTTATTTTTAGCATAGTTTGGCTATCTGGAATAACTTTTAAGAAATCAGTTTCATCAGTTACCATTCGATTTGCCGAAAATTCACCAATTTCTGTCAAATTTGCCGAAAATTCACCGGTTCAAGAGCAGTTTTTAACCGACCGGACCGTTTTATCAATCTCTTATCGGTTCCAACCCTGACATATATCTACAAATATACATGGTTGTGTGTGTTCTCTTGATCTGTGCTCTTGTTTCTCTTCTTTTTGATCTATCTTCCTCTATCTTTACGTAGTTAGTGTTTTCCCAATAAAACCGAACTCATGTTCAACTCAAACTTATAGTTAAAATGAGGGTTGCCAAATCTTCTGAAAAGCCAGGAAAATTTCTAATTTGAGTATTTTTCCGATTTTCTTTTCTGATCTGTTGCCGAATTTCAAACGTTTTTAGATGATAGCTTTACTAGCGAAATTAATTAAGAGTATAACACATTAATATTATAGATCCGTATTCTGCTATCTTTCCTTTCTTAATCTTTTGTAGTTTCTGAGTTCTGCAGTCACTGACGAGTCTTTAATATATCAGTAAATTTTTGCGTTGCCGAACTTGAGAATGAATGCTAATTAGTTTTTCTTTTTGAACAATTTTGCAAACATATTTTAGCTCAAAAACATTTATTGAAGGAATTTTGAACAAAGGAAAACTTGAAAAATAATATAGAATTTATGTTCTATAATCTTTATTATTTTTCGTAAACAGAATTTTGGGCTTCGTAAAAGAATCTGACACTAGGTATCTTTTGCTAGATTTTGTTTTTGTATTAACTAACAATCGAAGGCCATGCAACGGCAAATGAAGGAGATTGATCATAGTCGAATCAAATGAATGCTTTCACTCATAGACCAATTAGTTTAAAACATGAGCTGCCAATAGCGTGAACAGGCCGAGATGTTTAAATTGTAAGATATCTACAGTTTGTCATGGGACCACACTACGAAATTTCATCAATCTTTAGTTCTTTTTTTTCGTCTTAGTTGAATCAAATACAACTATTTCCATAACAAGAAGCAATATCACATTCATTTAAAAGCAATTTGACAGCAATCAAAATTTCTATTTATTGCCCTTGTAATTAAAAAAAACTGTTGTCTTAGACTTCGTAGAATTTGCTTTTTAATATGCATGATATTGTTTTTTCTTCTATAAATGTTTCTACTCCATCCAACTATGACGGAAAAAGAAAACTAACCGTTGATAAAATTTCATAGTGTGTGCACACAACGAACTGTAAACTTCTTGACACTCGAATATCTTGGTATGTATACACTATTGGCAGCTCATATTTTTAACTAGTTGATCTAACAGTGGAAACATTGATTTGATCCGACTATGATCAATTTCCTTAGCTTATAGTACACGATATCTTACTCTAAGCTAAAATAATAGTTGTGTTGTCTTTCTTTACTATGAAATACTTTTGGCAACAAAGTATAAGTCGATAAACAAAAAAACAACATGAAGCCTTATTTCTGATTTTTAAGTTTTTCATCTAGTAGCTCTGGTGAAAATATCAGAAGCGATTCTTTTCTTTATTCGTCACAGAAAGAACAAGCAAAAAGCGCATGTGAAAAAAGATCGAGCTCCTGTCTAATTCAAAAATAAATAAACAATTATGCAAAAAGTCAAATTCAAAGGGCAATTGCCCATTTGCTCCTCCCTTGGCTAAGCCACTGGGTGTGGCTGTGAATAAATAGACGATCTAGAGCCACATCCAGTATTGAACATTGAAACAATTTGTTTGAAGATAGAAACAGCAGTGATGAGTTGTGTCTAGAAGTTAGTCATCATAAAGTGTTAAAATTTGTATTTTTCTATATCTAAGTGTTACGTGTTTTGATGTTACAATCACAGGTATTCTACTTAATGCCGAGTATTTTTCAGCAAAATTCAATATCATGATGAATAAGAGGCTTTATAGAAGCAACTTTTCCCCTAAATTGATTATCAATGATGGATTATATTATCGTGACATCGAACTTGTTCGAAATACTGACAATGGAGGTGTTTGTATTGTCCGCGGAAAAATGGCACATATTCGGGTCAAATGAAAGCTGTCACTGCTAAACTAACAAGGTTAAAATATTAGCTGCCCTTGGCTTGCCTAGAGGAAGATATTTAGATTTTAAATTTAGGTATAAAAATGAATCAAGAAAGGTTTTCTCCACTATTATAAGGACAAAACATAGTGTTGTTCGGGGCGATTATGGAGTTTGTAGAGTCTCTCTTTCATATGGCCCGAACAACACTATGTTTTGTCCTTATACTAGTGGAGAAAACCTTTCCTGACTCATTTTTATACCTAAATTTAAAATCCAAATATCTTCCTCTAGGCAAGCCAAGGGCAGCTAATATTTCAACCTTATTAGTTTGGCAGTGAGAGCTTTCATTTGACCCGAATATGTGCCACTTTTTCGTCGGACAGTACAAACACCTCCATTGTGAGAAAATTTAAGAATAATTTAGTGAAATGTTTAGAAGTAAATATCATATTGATAAAACAAATTAGTCTAATTAATCGATTTGATTATAGTTTGAAAATAATTTTGTTTGAATTTGATGAAGAAAATTCTAGATCATTCGATATTCTGTCTCGTTAATCTGAATATAATTCTATTTAAAAACCTTTCTTATTGTGTTTGCTATTCAGATAGACAAATTGAAGGGATAAGGCAAACGAAAGGATTTAGAAAAAAGTCAATTTAATGTGTCAATATGGTAATCATTATTTTATTCCAAATAACTATAATGAACGCCTTTATATCCATATTTGACTAATGTCAATCAGGCTCAGAGATGGAACCAGTCTGGATTTTTGAATACCGGTACTGGTTCAAATAGGTCAGACCGGCCGGTACACATTTTTTACCAATACACATTCTATCTTTTGTATAGTGATAGTTCAAGTAATCGACTTCCATCGAAATTTTCATACGTATTCTGTACAAGATAGCTTTAAGATCATGCAGTTTTGAGCTAGTTTATGCAATAAAACCAAGAAAGAAAAAAGATAGATTGACCGATCTACCGGTACCGGTTCCATCTCTGATCAAGCTAGCCTGTTAATAAACCTACAGGATCAGTTACGACTAATGAAGACTTTTCAAGGTTCGAATGTAGATGAAAACTAATTATCGAACAATTTAAATTTGTTAAAAAATTCAACATTTTTCTTCTATAAGAAAAAGAAAGAGACTTTTTTTAAAGTCGTTTTACAGTTTATTGTAAGAGTATATCTATTATATATTTAATTTTGTAGAACTCGTCGTGCTCTATCGAACCATGGCAAAATATCATCAAAAGAAAAAATTTTTGTTTTCTTTTTCGAAATCTAAATTCGTGTTATCTATATTATAGTTTGTTATTATGTTTATATTTTAGTATAGTTTAGTTTTTCGCTAATACTTAATTCAACTATCTTATTTGTCGGAGAATTAAACAACAATGTTATTCTTCTATAACATTCGATGTTTGTTTTTATACATTATACTTGGACAATTTAACATAGATTATGTTAAAGCAATTTGGCCTTCATCAAACTCTTCTAACATTAGTCTGTTAGGCCTTTTTTATGGTGGACCAAATATATCTACCATAAGCAGCTTATCTGTCCATTCTCGAGCTATGTTTAAGTCAGCAGTATTACTTTCTCAACAATATAATATGACAATTAACGGAGAATTTCTAGGGTGGCACTCACAGGATACTACTGGCAGTATAATAGATGCGGTGAGTGATACATGTCGTGCAGTGTCGAGTTCTAGTATAATTGGTATTGTTGGTCCAGAATTATCGCGAGAATCTCTTACAATAGCTCCATTTGGTGCAAAAATTGGTATACCGGTTATATCATATTCTGCAACTGATCCTGATTTATCTGATATACATGCTTATCCTACTTTTCATCGTACGGTTCCTTCGGATAATACAGCTGCATTAGCTCTTGTTAATCTGTTTATTCGATTTAATTGGACATCATGTTCAATTATTTATCAAAATGATGCATTTGGATCTAGTGGAGCAAAAGCTATAAATGAAGCATTTAATAATAGTGGATTGACAGTGATAGAAATGATTATCTTTGATATAGATCACAATGATATTCGTGGCAATTTGAAAGATTATTTAGCTAGTGGTGCAACACGAATTGTTATTGTATGGGCTGAATCAATTTATACATCTTTTATATTGCAAAAAGCTCTTGACTTGAATTTAGTTGGACCATATTTTACTTGGATATTAAGTTCGACTATTTCATTTGATTCTTTCAATAGAACATTTTATCAAAATTTAACTGGAATGCTTCTAATTGAACCAGTTGTAGGATCAGTTGTCAATGTATCAATTAATCAAACATTATTAGATGCAGCGTTCACTATTTGGCAACAGTATGAAAATGATACATATCCTGGATCATCAAATGTTAATTATTATGCATTATTTGCATTTGATGCAACATGGACATTTATTCAATCATTACAAAAATTATGTTCATCAACAATAACTAATTCTTCTTCATGTTTATCATTTGTTAAATCGTCATTCTGTTTTGATAATCGTTTCATTCAATCGAATTTATTGTTAGATGCACTTAGTACAACATAATTTCTTGGTGTATCTGGTTCTATTAAATTTACTTATAATGTTACAGACAGAATAAATGGTTCATATTATTCTCTAAAAAATGTTCAACCTTCTGTCAATGGTTTGCATTATGTGTTCGTTTTAGAATATTCAGATCCTAAGCATTGGAGAATACCTAGAGAATATTCTTAAAGGGACGTCCAACTTAAAAACGCACTTTTTCACGAATCCCTTATGTTCAATTCGTTTTTATTTTATTAACTTTTCTCGTCCTTTTAAATATTATTAAATTTTTTTTTTGTAGAAAAGAAAAGCGTCTATTGTTTTAAATAATAGAATAAATTTTGTTCGAACTAACAATTTATTGTTTAAGTCGAATGATATATAAATGGAACAGATTTTATATATTAATAAAGGTAATCATGTGCAATATTAGTCATCTCTATTTATCTAAAAGACATTCATATCACAAACTAGATTTTTTTTTCTCGAACTTACATATATCTTCGAAGAAAATAGCAAGTGCAACTTTTACAGATCTTAGCAATTAGAGTTCAAGGTCATTGAGTACATTCTCATAGCAACAGCAAGTCTAAATCAATCATTTTAGTATTGTTGTAACTCGTAATTACACAAGTAAAAAAACAAAAAAAAAGATATTTGCGGAGGAACAACATTCATTGAAATTTTCGAATGAAAATGACGAGGAAGTGCAATAAAGAGACACTGATATTTAACGTAGGAAAATGTATGTTATTTTCATATTTTATATCGAAATGAAATGTGGTAACAAGATTTTCTTAGTATAAGTTTTATCTAAGAATAAAAGATAAATGAAGATGTGTTGAGTGATGTAAGTTTTGTATTTTTATTGAACGTGGATTCAATTTTTATTTCAATAAATAAACAATCAAAGAATAGAATATTAACATTAATCATAATACAAACTAACAACAATAATGAGCATGAATATTTCTGATCACCAAAAAAGGAACATTTAATCACGAAAATTTTTTATTGAGAAATGATCAACAAAAAAAGAAAGATTTGATCACCAAATTTATTAATATAATAAGAGATAGTATAAGATATAACACCTCTACTTATACAACATAACATGAGAAAAAATATTTCACAAATAAATGTGGAAACCTCGGATTTAAATCCGAGAGTTATGTGTACTTCAAAAAGTGAGTGAAACATATCAGTCATCTTAGAATGTGTGGACATAAAAATTATCCTGGCAAACCTTGCCTATAAACACTTGATTTTTATTGGCTATTGATCAACCAATAGGATTTGGGGCGAATACATCTCAGATTTGAACTCTTCATCTTGATTTACCCTAAGAAACTCGTTTTTCCTATAACTTGATTTATATTGGTCATTGTTCAACCAATGAGATTTCGAGGCGAATGGAACACAGATTCGAGTTCTTCACTTCAGAAAACCTCGAACTATCATCTCTGTGATCGGAATATAGAGCTCGAATTGTGAATCAATTAGAGCGTGGACAAAAAAAGAACTGAATTCTGTTTAATTATCTTTGCAATGGGTGAGTTTGCTTTCTTGTCTCCTTATGTTTTATATACCATTTTGTAGCTCGTGAAATTCTCTATCGAATGATATATATAATAGTTGGGGTTTTATTTGACTATGATAGGAAAATCTTTTTACGAAAAAAGAGAAGGGTCAATCTTCTCTTAGAGAAGCCATAGGGAAAAATGACTATTTTTGCAATAACTCACGAATGACTCTGCCAATGATTCTCATCTTCGAACTCAACCGAGATATTGTTGAGACCAAGCTGTGTAGAAAATTTCATCATGATCGGACTCTCCTTTCAAAAGTTATCGTGTAAACGGA